GATAGTTCCCTCTACTGTGGCCCTAAGCTTAAGCAATGCCGGCGGGAAATGAAATCCCTCCGTCCATTCTGGGAAAGTGGGCTTGACGTTTTCCTTGACTGTGTCCACCGGAAAGAAATGCAGCAAATAGCACTGTGCATGTTGCCCTTTGTAGGGAAATTGTACAATGAGGTCCAAGACTCCATAACGTATGTCACCATGGTTGAGCTCAAAACGTAAAAAAGTGGTGACATCGACATAAGTGCCGTCGTCTGCCAAAAGGGCTTTCAAACTGCAGAAAACGGTCAGCTGGTGACTCGTGGCTAAGCTCTGAGCCAAAAGTCTTGAGCCAAAAGGCTACGGACCTCGACATCAGTTGCCCTTTGCAAGCCTCACACGGGATGCATGGCGCGCCAAAGGCCACTCTTGCGGCAAGTTGGCATAAAGGCTGACAGCGGGCGCCACCGGGGGCAATGTTGTAGGCACAACTGCAGAGCCAGGGCTTGCTTGGGCAGCGTGTTGCACTGCAAGTGTTTGATACTAACGGTGCTAACGTGCGAGCATTCTCCTGTTGCGTGCAAGGCCCGTGTGAAACCAGTGAAACGTGGACCTATCCTAGCATGGTACTTGGGCCTCTTTGTACAGCAATGGTTATGGCATGGCCGCTGCAAAGAGAACTAAGGTTCCCCCTGGCAACCTTCCATTACCATTCTCTAACACCCGCCTTTTGGAACGAGAGCTAAGGCTCTCATTCCTGTGGGCTCACTGAAATGTTGATGGTGGCCGAAATGATGGCTTTGCCTAAGCTTTCTTTTTTGCACGGGTATGGGCGCTATGTGTGCCGAGAGGCACAAGTCACCGAGTCGAATTCAGATAGGGGGTACGTGAGATGAGCCTGACAACCAAGACAGGCAGCAACAAAACCAAACCACCAACACAAAACAACAAACACAAACCAAAAAACCAACAAACAAGAACCAAGCGTCAGGCTCAAGTCCGTACGAGTCTAAATGAGCAAAAGGTGCAGATCCGAGGACCAACACAGTGGTGAAACGGGGCAATGAATTCTTAATGAGCCGCTCTCAGTAGAGGACGTCCAGGGCGAACTTGCCTTTTGATGCAATCTGTGTATGGGCAGGAGTGTGTTCCTTCAGAGGTGTACTGCGTATGGCAAAGCCTGAGCATACTGAACACGAGAATGGGGTGCACTGCAGATTCAGCTGGGTCTATGCAAAGCAGGCACAGCACAACTTGTATCAAAGAATGCGTGTGCGCAAAGATCCTAAGGAGTCACAAGGTGACCCAGGCTGTAGCAGTAGAACATCACCTCTGCAAGGCAAAACTTCAGCATATTCATGTCCTGGCTCGTTCCTAGTGCTCTGAAGATTTTGATCGACAGGGAGAACGAGGAGTCGAAGGCTTTGGAGCCGAGTAGCTAACTGGAGGACAGGTTTGGCCCAGCGAATCATGTGGGGACCTCAGGGTTGGTACCCGGCCTCGTCTTATGCTCTTGCAGTCATTTCACGTTGCTGCCAAGAAAATGCACATGCTGCTAAACCTCCCAGACCTGCCAGCAAGCAGGAGTCTCCGTAGCAGTGTGCCAGACAAACTGGGACACGGAGGAGTCAGGACATCTGCAAGCAGGTCACCGCCTCCCCCAGCGGGGGAGGCAGAGGCAGGCTTTGCCTAAGCTTTCCTCGGCCTGGCTCGCAAAATCGAAACAGCAGAGTAGCAGTCCATCCCCACTGTCGTCAGAGCGTTGCCAGTCTAGGGTGTAGCTTCTTGGAAGTCTTCTCTCCATTGGTCGTTGGCATTTGGCGGCAGGAATCGGAGCCACTGGGGCTTGTCTAATTGCTCACATTTGTCAAAAGCATTGAGCCGGACATAGGTACCTCGCCATGTTTTGCTTTTCCCTTTTTTACGAACTGCAGCTTAAGCTGCGTGCAATGATTCGTAAATTTTGGGGAAGGCTGAGTTGTTGCAGCTGCGAGCAGCACGCAAAGTTGAGCCCAAAAGTTCACTGATGCACGTTTGGGACAAATCCACAGTTTGCAGCTGCTGGCAGCTCACGCACGCGGCTGTCCCTGTCCTGCCAAGTCGAGGTGCTGCAGGGCCGTGCATCCTTGAAACACACGGGGCCGCAATTGTGCTTGGGGGGCGAGAAAATTGCCAGGGCACTGAGTCACTCCTATTTGCGTTAGGGAGCAACACTCCTCGAAGACCTTAGTGCCGAAGTGTTGGCAGCCAGGGGCAGTCACTGCTCGCAAGACTCGGCATCGGCTGAAGGCACCATGCAGCAGACTGACAACCGTGTCTGGTAGGTGGACCACTTGCAGCTGTCGACAACTCCTCCACGCACAGACAGTGTGGTTGTGGAGTGCAAGTAAGCACCGTTCTGGCAGGGCAGCATCTTCCCCAGAGGGGGAAGACGGCAGTTTTGCACTTCTACGTTGCGGCGGTGACTCCAAGAACAGCTTTGCCACGGGAGACCACAGAAAGGCAAAAGTTTCAAAACGCTCAAAAGGAGGCAAATTGAGCTGCCGACTGGCGCAATGGCAAAAGGATGTTGAGTGTCGATTGGCGCCTTGCAGGTGTGCCACCTTTATGCGTCCTTGAAACACGCAAGCCCCATGAACTGAGTGTGACAGGTGAACGCCGTTATTCTATGTTCTATTCACTGCACAAATCTGTACTCTTTGTACCCATCCAGGACCGCCACTGGGGTGGCAGCCTCACTGTCTAGCTACTCAGTGCTGCTGTGCAGCAGGTCATTCATGTCGTTGGCAGAACCTGCACGTGGGTGCAAGCCTGAGCATGCAGCAAAGCTACTGCAGGTCCTTGCACAGCTCCTCGTAAAAATCGTCTGCCCACGCCTCACCACTGCAACTTCGGTTTGATGGGAGGAGGTGAATCCACTTCGGTGTGTCAAATTGACAGCATTTGTCAAAGACACCAGGCTCCGCGTATGCCCCTCTCCACGTTGTTCTGGCTTCTGTGCATCCTGCAAATGCTCGTTGAGCAATATACAGCAAGGCTGGTGGGGTGTGTACAGTACCTCACGCAGCGAAGTGCATTTTAGGAAGGCTTCTCGTCCAATACGCCGCAGCTTGTTAGCAAGACTGAGCCGCTCCAATTGCGAGCAGTGTGCAAAAGTGGACCCCAAAATCTGACTAAGATCTGTTCGGGAGAGGTCGACTGGTTGCAATCGTGCAACGCTCACAGGCGGCAGGCCCTTCCACGTGAAGTCCGCCGGCAGATGCAACGAGACAATCCCAGCCTCCAAGAAACAGCACTCAGGCACCAACGTGTCAAATTTGCAGGGTCATACCCAGTAAAATGTTGTGACACACTCTTGTGGGAGAGTCTTGCAGGAGCTTGCAGGACACTCTTGTCACACAGACTCATCGAACCGTCTTGTAGGGTGTGGGGCACTCTTGTATGGGGCATCCTTGTCGGACACTCTTGTGGAAGACTCTTGTCAAACACTCTTGCCCGAGGGGAACACTTCAAGACAAGACTTCAAGTCGGCAACGCAAGCACTTGGTGCGAGATTTCCTCCAAAAAATCTCAGCGCGCAAGCAATTCCAGCCCCTCTAAACAACACCCCCTCACACGCCAATCCCAATGTCACAGCGACATTCACCTCCACCACACCTCGCAACCTCATGATTTTCTGTCGCCTGCCACCCCAACACGCACAAAGTGCTGCGCTGCCAGGAAATGTGACCTCTCGCAACCTCACGATTTTCTTTCGCCTGCCACGAATATTGCGCTTCCACCGCGCAAAGTACTGCGCCTGCCACGAAAAGTGCCAATATGATATCATGTTAGCGTCAGCAAAATCTGCACCGCGCCACACGTTTGGATTTCGGCGCGTTGTGAGCACACTCCCATCCACCAAAATCGAGATCTAAGCTGAGATTGTCACGAAAGCACAGCTTCGAAGCAACAGCCTGAAACACAGATCTCAATGTCACAGCCACATCCAACACCCCAGAAGCGCAGCCCTCCAAACACCACCCAATGTGAATGCGCAGAAAACTGCCCATTTGAACTTGTTTGCCTTTTGGAGTGGTGCCTCTCTATGTGGGCTTTACTTTCACAATGTTGTTTTTTGACGACCAACCTAAGTACCTCCCCGGTTGCAACGGTTCATGTGTTGGGTTACAAGCGGGCGGGTGTGGCATGCCGCAGGTTGCCGTGACTTTGGAGTCACTTCTGGAGTTGATTGCGCTCCAGCCTCGACCGTGTTGATTGCGCTGCGATTGGCTTGGCCGCTGTGCGCGACGGCTTGACCGCTGTGCGCGACGGCCTGCGTATCCGTAAAGCCGCTGGATCCGAGGCGGCAGCGCGAGCCATTTTTCGGCTGCAAACCGATCGCTTTTTTTGGAACCAAATTCCGGCATCAAAATAGAAACCAATTTTGGCTTCATCTATTCAAAAATGAAAGCCGCATGCATCTGACTGACATGTCATGTTTCCATCCAAAACCCTCTCCAAAAGCTTTGCCCACTGTGAGCCCCATAGCGCCCTACCGCGAACGGTTGCGAAGGTTGACAAGGTAGGTACGGTTCGGTCGCTACGACAACTACTTGCGAACAAGAGTTCACCCCAAGCCCCCCAGAGTTAAGTGAGAACCCTTCGCTACGCACTCGGGAAAACACGCATCAAACTGACGTTGTCAACCAAGCTCTTGGAATGGTTGCCTTCCACGCCGCGATTCATTTCACTACATTGCGTCATCACATCACAAGTGTCGCAACACAACACGTCATGTCACTACCGACGCCAAGTGCACAAACAAACAGTTTACATTTGAAACATCAAACTTATGTAAGCACACAAACCACCACGGTGAAAATTTCCACCGTCAGGCGTTGCTAGGCGTGACAACATGAGTGTATTCTCTGGGCCATTAAAGTGGAAGCGGAAACCAATCTGGGAATGGCACATCAAACATTTTTCAACCAAAAATTTGTTTTCACAACCGATTTCCTTTTTGGTGACTCCATACCGTTTTGAGCTCAAACTTGTGATTGAGGGCTTGTTATCGATTTTATTGCGATGGCGCCACGTCCTTAGCTTCGAATTGGTTTGTTTTTCAGTGTTCGGACTGAGTGTTTTTCATGTTCATTTTTATGAAACTTTAACTTGATTTACTTTGTATGAGAGCTCTCTAGTTTAATCCAAAACCTGACACTCAAATCGATATGCGTCCCAGAAAAGAACGAATTCACATGAGCTCGAGTCTTCCCATTAGCAGACAGTTCTTTCTTGGTTATTGACAGGGCAAACACACGAATTGCTTTCTGAAGATTAATCAATTATCGTTTATTTATGTCTTTTTCCTGGGCCGTGTGCAACATGAATCACTTGCACCATGTCACGCCCCTCTGAGGGCCGCTGCGCCCGCCCAGACGCTGCCTGCAATGCCGCAGGCTCCGGCCACGGCCCCGGTGCCGGCGGCTCCGGTGGCCACCGCGCCAAGCACCGCCTACCAGGCAAGTGATGGGCAGGGGTGACACTGTTCATGAAGAGAAGGACTGTCTCAGCGACTCGTTTTCGAGAAACAAGATCCTGCAGACCCCCAACTCCACCGCAGGAGTGCACCAACCATCAATCAAGGCCGAGAGTCAAGTTTTTCAGCCCAAATGTTGGCTGTCCCCAAATGAGGAGTGGACACATCTTTCCTTTATTTTGCAAATTTTGCAGATGGACAAGATCCGGCACCAAGGGTGGATGATATCTACTTTTAACTGGGGGAAACCCGGATTTGCACGGGCGTCAATGGGACGGGTCCACAAAGAAGAAAAGACCTACCAGAGAGCTCCGTGGCCCGTTTCCCAGGTGTGGCAAGGCCTCCAAGGCCTGGTTTTGGGTTCTTCCTGGATCGAACGGGGGTTGGGAATTGCACCTCCTGATTGCCATCGCCATGGTAACCTTGTGGCTTGCAGCAAAAATTTGCAGTTTTCTTTGCCAGGAAGCGGGTAAGGGGCCTCCAGGCACCCCCTGGTTCATTTCCATTGTGCAGCTAGCACGGAGCTTTCAACTCTCAGTGCGTCCGTGCTACGAGAAGTATATGTACTTACATTTATATAGTGTATTTGTGTGACCCAACATGAGTGGATTTTTTTACATGAAAGTGTTTGGCTGTGTGTGGATTGAAATCAAAGCGGACTACACGCTTTTCTCGTGGGTAGCCTTTGCAGCTTCACCGCCAACCAGGTGCAGTGCTGTGTGATGCGGATCGATTGTCCCAGCCTCGGTGCCATGGACGTGAAGGTTTGCCACCTGGAAGTAATGGCCTCCAACCTAACAGCAATGGCCTCCAATATCCAGCTCTAAGAGAGAAGGTTGTTCAAGTGCCAGAGGTGTCCTGACCTGGCCAGTATCTCCGGCTGTTTTCAATCTGGAATCTGGAGCAAGGGTATTATGCAAATGGATTTTCTAGCCAGTGCAAAGGGTTCATCCTCTCAACTTGAAGGTCAAACTTTAACGGTTTCTTCTTTTTTGAAGAAGCGATGTAGCTGCACTATTTTGGCTTAAGGGAGGTACATATGCCAGGTTCGCTGTGGCTCAGTCTCAGCGCAGCACGTCGCCCAGGTGCGGGCCCAACCGAGCCTACGTGAGGCGCAAATGCATCCTGCGGGCTGTGGCTGCTTGAGATTGGGCGCAAGCTGGTGTACTAAACAACAACTAAGCAGCGACAGGTGAAGTAGATCAGACGTTGGACTCATCAAAGGCCTAAAGCAGGCCTTTTATTTTTCCTGAGTAGCGTGAGGGCGTGAGGGCATGTGATGGGCAATTTGGGGGTGATGACCCACACAACCCTTCCTGGAAGATGATCCCTCACAGGTTCGTCCAGCACTGACAATGGACCGACCCATGCAAACCGGCTTTTGGATTGTTTTGACCAACTGGTTTCCACCAAGTATTGATTTGTGACAAGAACCCACCGAGATCCGGCCAGGTCGCCAGTGAATGTTGGCACACCCACTGTGGTCACGACCTCACCAACCGGAGCAACGGTGAGTGGAGGAGATCCTGGTCGGTGAGTTCAAGAGTTGCAGTTGAACCGGCGACATCAACCACTCAATGCTCACAAGTTCTGCTTTCATTGTCGCAATTCCAGACGTTCTTGACGTGTCCTGTGTGAGTACTGTACTGATATTGGAGCCATATGATCACTGGAGGACCTGTCGTGTCAGCATCATCTCTTCCAGTGGGGCCGCCCCAGGAAATCAGTCAAAAACCCACGATGCGTGAAGGGTGTGGAATCCACTTTCCTGGACAGAGAAGAACTTAATCGACTTTTCAGAGGTTCTGTTGCAAAACTTGGAAAGAGAGAAAAGTGAGCAGGGACAAAGAAAGGTCTGAGTCTAGACATATCAAGAAAATAACCGAGATAAAAGAAAGGAGGAACAGAGTTAGCAAGCTTGTATACCCACTGGAGATACCAACCTACCAGTCTAGACACCTTGACGATGGCAAGAACGTTGCCATAGGCACCGCCTTGGATGCAGAGCATCGGAAGTCAGGCCTGGTACTTCCAAATCTCGCAGGAAAAGTCTCATGAATGATTTGACACCTCTAGATCATGTGAAAGATATTAAGCTCAAGTCTACATCAGTCACATGCTCAGAAAAAATAATCGATTCAAACCCCATCGTCCAGTCTGCCCCGAACACTTGGCATTCACCCCCCATTCGTTGCGGTCAGGGCCAGCCGATGGTGATCCCGGCACCTGCACCGGCCGCAGTCGCGCCGGTGGCCGGCACCTCTGGAGTGGTGGCTTGCCGTAAATGGTTGGAAGGGTTGGACCGGCTTTGCAAGTGTTTGGTTTGGAAGAAGGACAAGAAGGAATTACAGTGCTTTTCGCATGAAAATGGGTCAGCATCGAATCGATTCTTATTTCTTTGAAGCACTTCGTATGATCCAAGGACGCACAGGTGACATTTGAAGTGGTCGCTCCACTCAGGTAGAAAGCAGATATTCAGATCTACTCCTGCAATACCCTGAGAGAGATCTTTACTTCAATCCGATTAACTTCGATCAGGTTCACAATGTCTCCCGGAAGCTTTCCTCACGTGTCACCTTTGCCCCAGTTTGTGCCCTCGCCTGGCGCTGCGGGAAGCCCGGTGGTTGCATCCGTGCAGCCGGGCTCTGGAGTGGCCGGGTACCAAGGTCTGGGGCCTGGGGCATTCTGGGCTGTTTGGTTTTTTTCCGCAATGCCCAGCATTGTGACTCCGAAAGTTCGGAAAGCTTGCAACAATATATATATATATATATAGTGATTTCATCAAAACCAGACTCATCACAAGGAGAACTCAGAACCAGACTCAAGGAGAAAGCAACAAGAAAAAAAGGAAGACAACTGGAGGAGCCTGGAACACAAAATGAACGCATCATGGGACCAGCCGACGTCAAGGTCCTACTCTTGGATCGGATTTTAGGGCCTTGTTAGCTCTAACTGGTGGTGCGGGCCTCCTTTATCCACCCACTCAGTTCCGACAATTCAGTTTGTCACATCTTGCCGATGTCGGCATTGCCGGTGTCTACCATCCAAATGGGATGTGTTGTCCTCATTCGAACCCCCACTCGAACTGGCAGCGCCAATGGTGACGCAAGGCCACTGAACAGCCTCAAATACATGTGCAACGAATGGTTTCGCTCTGGTTGGAGGATTCTGAACCTTTCTTACGTCTCTCTCTTTCTCTCTCTCTGATTTGTGACAGTATGAGACCCATTTGGTGATGTGATGCGGCTAGGCATTTTTAGTTGTGTAACTTCTGAGACTCTCACAGTAATGCTTGCACATGATGTTATCCATTGTGGTTTGAAGCCTGGTATGACCGATGATTCCTCAGTGGCTCCTTGCTGCACCCTCCGCGGTTTGACAGGTTGTCCTTGCCCAAGCAACGCGTTTCACTAAACCTGGGTTTGTGCGGGGCCTATTGGTCTTTTGTGTAACCTTACCCTTGGTCCTTGAGGGTGGTGCTTGGATGTGCTTGTGTTTGGGAGGGGAACCACGGAAGCTTTGAACATGTTGGTCATGTGCTGAACACACATGACTGAGTTCCCTCCTGGATACCTTGGCTTCCCTTCCCAGCCACCGGCTTGTTCACCTACCTTCCTCAATTTGCTTGCCCCTACTTGTCCTGCCAGTTCACGCACGTGTGTGTGTGTGTGTGTGTCCACCATCACCACCGTCATCATCACCACCACCACCATCACCACCACCATAACCACCAGCATCACCACCTTACCACCACCAACATCACCACCATCACCTCTCTTTGGACCCAATGCGTCTAGATCTCTAGACCTTCTGCTTCTACACCTCTAGGCCTTAGACCCTTATACAGATACACTGTTTGGGTTGCCTGGATTGTTTGACATGTTTTTTGATGGTTTCTATTTTTGGTTCTCTCTCTCTCTCTCTCGCTCGCTCGTTTTCAATGATTTTAGCGTGGTCGGTATCTCAGTATTGCATTCTGGCCATGTTTGTAGGAGGCCTGGAGGTACTCGGCCGCGAACACATAAGGAAATAGATTTGGTCAACAAAAAAATGGGTGTCAGCTACTTTGTCAATGCGAACAGGGATCCGGTTCACTGAAGGTGCGCAACGTCCTCGTTCACCCCACCGATTGTTGCTCTTGGTGCCTTCCGACAAAAAGGATATGGCGGTCCACTTCCTCTCTTGTTTGTTTCCACACTATACCATTTGCGGTGAAATTCCACTCTAAGTGTTGCCCAGAGCTCGGATCAGGTAGGGTGATCGCATGTTGAAAGATTTTGAAGGTATAACGGTTGTTTCCTGCTGATGGTTTGGCCACGTTCCTTTATGAGTCAGCGCTTTTCCAGCAGCTGGCTGCAAAATGGATGACTCATCCCGAAAGAAGCTTTCTGCACTCGGTACACGAAGCATGCTAAGTTCGTGCCATCTCCGCAGAACGCCAGCTTTGTCCAAACCTCTGTGGGAGCCCTAATCTTTGTTTCATGGTCAGGGAGTGTCCAAACAGAGTTTTGCCTGCTCAGAGCAAGATGAAAACACTGACTTTCGCAATCACTCCTGCCAGAAAAATATTTTGAAAACTGTTCTCAGCAAACTCTTCACATCAGGATTTGTCAGGTGCCCACTCACCCAAAGCACCGACGATGCTCTTCGAATGGTCCCGGTGTTTGTGCGCCCAGATAGCAGCGGGCTCGCCGGTGGCAAAGGTTGCGTACGGAGCCAAGGAAAAGCAGGCCCTCAATTCTATTCTATGCAATCCCCTGGCATACCCATACAACAAGTTCCGAAGTCGATCAAAGTATCTTAGTCGTTTAACTTCTGGATTCTTCTGCCACATGGCGTCCTAGACAACAAGTTCTGCACCGGAGTTGCAGACATGCAAAGTTATGCTGCAAGAAGTGCTGCCCCTGAAGGTGGGAGTCCCAAGTAGATGCAATGCAGCTATAGTATAGACTCCCCAGCCATACCACAGATAGGTTTGGAAAAGTAGACATGTGATCCGATCAGTTCAAGGCTGCTGTTTGGGTGTGTCTCCAATGACAGTCTTTTCACCTGAAAAGAAGCTACTAGGAACAAGTGCATCGCTACTAGTAACAAGTTCCTTACTAGTAGTAACAAGAAGCTATTAGAAACAAGTGCCTTACTACTAGGAGCAAGAAGCTACTAGTGTTTGTCTCTCTACTAGTAACAAGTGCCACGCTACTAGTAACAGGTGCCACCAGTCCGTTCTTTTGCGTGCCGAGGCCTGCTGCGGTGCCTATGCAACCCACCCCGGCACGGGCCTTGACGTAGTGCCCAGTAGGCGAGCTGGTTTGGGAGGGATCATTTGTTGTGTGTGTGTGTGTGGGGGTCCAAGTGTTCAGTGGATTTGATGCATTCTTTACCTTTGAATTTCTTTGATAATTTCTTTGGATGGAAGCTTGCAGTGTGTGCTGCGACTGCGCTCATGCTACCGTGAAACAGGCTTTCATGAGTGCTCTACAGAGCGCAACCAGAAGGTTAGATACCATCCAGGCTTTGTTCGAGAGGTACCCTTCCGTCACTGTGTCTCATGACTGGCAAACGTTCTATTTTCATCCATACCCGTGCTGGTCATTTGTACTTCCTCGTGCACAAGCTATGAGGCCTTCCCAAACATTCCTGCGGGTGGGGTGCCCCAATCATCACTGGCGGACAAGAGGAACGGCAACCACCTTTTTTCGTTGCAAGCTTGCGCTTTTGCACCACCTGCAAGGCAAGACCTCAACTGCCATTTCTGTGGCTTCAAAAGGGATCCCAGTGCTTATGGATCCCAGTGCTTCTCATTCAGAGCAACATGCAGAACCCTTTGGTCAGGTTGCAGTCCTTTCTAGGCACGCTGTCATGCATACAACCAGTCGCTATATACATGGGCTGAAAATGGCAAGCTCTTGACAATCTCGACCCAATGAAGAGGCTAAAGAAATCCAAAGAATTTGATTGCTGTTTCCACGTCTCTCCATCTCGCTGTCTGAGGCAGTGAGCCCTTTGCGAAAGCCAAGGCCGCTGCTCCCGCTAAGGAGGAGCCGAAAAAGAGATCCAAGAAGAAGAAGTGCCGCCCTTGGGCAGGGTGTTTCACGCACGGAGCTTTCTTCGGCACCAACAAGCTTGTGTTAGTTGTATGATGGTTGCGCTGATCGATCGCCAAGCTCCAAATGCAGACTCCATAGACTCATAGACTCCAGAGTTAAACGTAGACACGACTGCAGAAAGGTACTGCAGACTGTCCAATAGTCGAAGATAGTCCAGTTTATATAACCAATGAAAAAAGAAGATGGTCCAATATTTTGATCCGTTACTGTCACTCTGTGTCCTTCGCTCGGCTCCCAAGGACCAAGTGCTGCGGAGTGTGCTGAACTGCAGGCGATGCCTTGTCGCAGCTTCCGGTCGGACCGTCCGGACCAGATTGGTTTCCGGTCGGCTCCTCTCCGGGAAACCAAAAATGTGAGAACTTGTGACAACTCTGCTTGTTGGAGCAACCTGTGAAAAAAGTAGTATAAGAAGGGGAATCCGACAGTTCAACGCTTCAATGTTTAACGTCTGAAGACCGGAATAAGCAACAGAAAAGATGCCCTTGAAGATAGGTCCTTCCTACTTGGCCAATATGTGTGTGATTAGCAATGTGACTGAATATATCATCATGGCTGATTGACTTATATACAAGCGGGCGTGACTTTTCACCATTTTGTCGAGCGTCCTGGTAGCCCCCGCTGAGGTTACTGGGCCCTGGTGGGTCTGAAGACCAGTTTGGGTGGTTTTGGGTTGCTTCTTCTTTTGTTTTGGTAAGGCTTCCAAACTTGTGGGATCTAGTGCACATGTCAATCATCTTGAATCATCTTGATCTCGAATGAGGAGAGACACACACACGCAGGCTTAGGCAGTCGCCGGACTGATTCGGATTGGGTTTTCTGACTACCCTTCTCGGGTGCTCTGTTTCCCTGGCAGGACCCATTGCCAGAGGCAGCTCGTATGGCGGCTCTAGTTGTAGCAGGGTCCACTTGGACCAACGGCCAATGAAGAGATCGTGACCTAAACCCCATGTTCCAATCTTGTTCAATTTGAAAAGACTATGCTGATACCTCACAGATTTTGTGGCCACCCAGTTGGAAGAGGCTCATCATAAGCTCAACATCATTTTTCCATCAAGGTGTTCACCTTCCAATCCTTAGAACCGGTCGTGGTGATAGCTCTAGTTTCCAGGCTGATTTCACTCTCGTGATCCATTTCACTGAGTGACCTCCCCTTAACGACTCTGCACAAGGGGTCTGGGCCGAAATGTTGCTAGGATGGAGAATCTATGGTCTCGAGGGGAGGTTGCTGAAAGGAGATGTGAGATGCGAGAGCTGAGGAAAAGGTTGTTCAGGGGATCTCAAGGGGCCAGCACGAATGGTCTAAGGTCTGATCTCCATGTTTCTGAAATCGTGCAGTTGCTGCGCAAAGTTTGCTGGGTTTGACCCACCCCCCGGTTGCGTCAAAGAAGAAATGAGTAGGTTTGACCAAGCAGCTTTCTGAGATCTAGCGAGTTATTCCGGTGGTCGATCAACCAAATGCCTTTGGAATGATCACTTTGTCACCCACGAGCTTTTTGGACTCACTGAGTTGCACAGTTGCACTTGGAAGTACAGTCGTCCTGGCTCAAGCACCTGTCACGCCACCTGCTCGCTTGAGAGATGCCAACTTTTGGGCCTGGGCCCAAGAAAGATCGGTTGAGGGGGCAGGATGGAGGTCCCAGTGACGTGGTTTGGGATGGACTGAAATCACCCCTCTTGCTGTCCAAGGAGGGGCCTTTTCCCCAGAGAAGAGCTTGTTGGGGTTTTCGAATGCACACAATATGGCCACGTCAGGAGGAGTGGTCGCAAGCCTCACATAGCACTCACTAGAGCAGTGACCTTGAAATCGAGAGAAGCACCGGTACAGTAATAGCGATGGCGTCCCACCTACAAGCGAGCCTCCAACCTTGAAGCGATGGCAACTGAATAGCGATGGCCTCCAACCTAATTAGTAGCTTCTTGCTCCTAGTGGCTTCTTGTCCCTAGTAGCCAGGAGCCCCTAGTAGCGTCCTTGCTCCTAGTAGCGATGCCAGGAGCCCCTAGTAGCTTCTTGTTCCTAAATCTGGACGCAGAATCCAAAAAGATTCGGATTGAGTGCTGGCGTGGCTCTAGTTACCTGATGCTACCCATTTGTGCATTCGGGATCTGATGAGATGGTTAGAAGGTGCATCCTTCAATTTTGTTCGACAATGTCTTCCATGTTGCATTTCCAAAATATCATCAATTTCGGTAGATGTCTCAATGTCTCCCCCTTCTTTGTGACTGAAGTTTTTGGGGATTCAGGCTAAACCGCCGCCATGACCGGGCTCAATGTTGGCTTGTGAGCACTTGAGGTTTGAGTTTGAGTATGCCAAGAGCGCCCGCTCAGCCTGCAAGCAATGCAAGGAGAAGATTGTCACTTGGTTGCCTTCAGGAGAATGTGAAGCATAAAGGATTAGGCCCAGGTCACTAGGTGGTGGCCGTTGCCCACAAAACTTACTACTCTCCTACTATTGATTCCATCGCAACCACTTTGGGCACATCTTGAAGAAACGTGGGTGCTTCTGTTTCGCCAGCTTCCCACACTCCTAACCACCTATCCAGATGCTCAACCTCATGGAGCAGGGTCCTTCGAAAAGCGCTAGACTAAACGGTGCTATTCCTAGAGGAGTTCTGATCTGATCGCAGGTGGATGATCAAAAACAACCTGAGACACCCATTTGACAGCTTGTTTTCTACAAACGAAACTTGAGGGATTCCTGAAAACTTGGTCTCCCGAAGCCTCCAGTATTGCGAGGACTGACCAAAAGCGCACAAATGCTGAGCATGTATTTGATCTTCATCCATAGCCAGCATTCCATGTCGACCCTCGATGCCTACAACTGCATAGTCTAACTTGGCTTCGCTGGCCCGAGGAGAAGGACACTTTGCGTGTGGGGTTGAAGGTCGTCACAGACCCGGGTGAGGAGGCTGACGCAGACGCCAGGACCCGGTGGGCACTTAGTGGTTTGTGGCTACAGAGCACTGCGGGGTGCGAATGATTGGGTTCTGAGAAGAAGTACACGGCTACATGGAAGCAATCAGCTCTCAGGATGCATGTTGTTTATTTTGTATATCTTTTTCTCTGAAGGTTGCTTCGAGCAACTAGATCAAGTAGTCACCAGAGGATGCTTGGGCACCCTCTCAGGAGTGTGCGAACCTTTTAAAGACTTGGGTATTTGGTCGGTCTTCTCTCGGTCTGTTCCCTTTGAGCCGGTGAGTTCTTTTCGCTCGCTAGTGCTTGTGTTCGTGCGAGGAAGAAGGCCCATGCCATGGAATCTGCGAAGTGGCATCATCTAGGCGACCCCGTCCGGTGAAGTGGGGCTGGCTGTAGAGCCTTTGGAGCTCTCGGATTCGAGGTGCCATGAGCGGTGGTAAGGATATGTAAGGATTGAAAGCCTTTGAGAGGTGCCATGAGAAGCCCATGGTTTTTTCTGCAAAAGAGAACCATGTCCGAACACTCTAGCATTTGATGGTGAAAAGGGATGAAGGTGTATTTTCCCGAAAACGCAAAAAAAAGCTTCATGCACCCTGTCCGAGTGGCCCCTGCCTTGGTTGTTTTTGGAAATCGGTGCCAGTATCGTCCTTCTTTAGCTGTGGTGCATGACTCTTTCTCCCACTAACGAAGTGGCAGGCTGCTTCCCACGCATCAAGGGCAAGACCTGGTTCCGACAACATCTGCCTGAGGAGCGAAACAACCAACCATCCATGAGCGATTGTGAGGCAGGGAGATAGTGAAATAAATCGATGATGGGGTCAGCCACAATGGCGGCTAAGGCAATATGGGTGCCGAACCTACTTACTGACTTGTGGAAACAGTCCTGTTCAAGGTGGCATTCGTAGATTTAAGGGGCTTACGCCCAACAGCGGGCCAGGAGGGGGCCCAGAGGCAAATACGCGAGAGTGGGTGTTGTTGTAGGCGGCGTTTGTGCAGTGGCTGTAGTAGTCGTTTGGGTTGGTGTTGTGGTTGTGGTTGCGGTGTTCGCGTCGGTTGTGGTGGTGGCGGCGGTTGTGGTCGTTCGAGTGGTTGTTGTTGTGGTTATTGTGGTTGTTGGTGTTCTGGCGGTGGCGGTTGTGGTGGTTGTTGGGGTTGTCATTGTAGCCGTTGTTGTGGTTCTGGTTGTTGTTGTGGTTGTCGTTGTCGTTCTTGTGGTTGTAGCTTTTGTTGTTAGTCCTGCGAGGTTGTCGGTCGCGTGGTTGTGGTTGTGGTGGTTGTGGTTCTGGCTGTGGTTGTGGTTGTGGCTGGTGGTAGTAGTGGTGGTGGTAGTAGTAGTAGTTGTTGTTGTGGTGGTGGTGGTGGTGGTTTGTGGTGGTGCAGATGTGGTGGTGGTGGTGATGGTGATGGTGGTGGTGGTGGTGGTGGTTGTTGTTCTTGTTGATGTGGTGGTGGTTGTTGTGCTTGAAGAGAACATGCACCCAGAAACAGAAAATGCCCATATTGCGAGGCAACATATGTGGCAATACTCGCACTGAGCCAGCTAGACGGAAGGGGGGGTACCCGTACGAGGCTGATAAAACTTAAAACATGTTAACATTTCAATCATCGGGTTTTGCCCAAAAAACAACGCAAAAATAACTTATATCGATTTTTTTGCGCGTGCCTGTGTACGCAGCAACCAAAACACGGGTCTGCACTGCCAATTACCATATCTCACAGCTCTAGGAGCCGTTGAGTATTGCTGGCTTCGACGCCTTGAAGAAAGAAGACCAAGCGGAGGCCCCACGCGGGGGGAAAGGATGCCCTGAGCACATGTTTCTAGCGGTTTTCGTGTTCGTTATTTCTGGTGGGGCAACACGGAAGAACAGCGCGAAGACACACACACATATACATATATATATATATATAGAAGAATGCAGGTCGAAGATGCAGACGGAAAAGACACGCAGAAAAAAAAAGAATGCAGGCGGACGGGAAAGAGCCTAGGAAAATCACAGGTTCAAATCAAGGCATCACAGGACCCACAAATCAAACAGACGTACTTACCCCAGTGTTGACGAGGTGAAGCTGATGCTGAGCAGCTGCCGTGGTGAGGAACCAGCTCCTGAGCCTACCGAGACGCCGAAGGCGCTTTTCCTCCACTGGTTCGCGAGGGACTTGGGCAGGAACCAAAGCGACCAAGCAATTCATCGGTGGACCTGAGGTTTGGTTTCTGCTCCGGGCCACGTCCACTTTCACGACTTCCCAGGTTTGTGGGGACATCAGATGTTTGAAGAAGAGACCGACCATGATTGGATAAGGAGGATATGCCACCAACTGAATCCGTCATGGTCCAAGCAAGTGGTGATGAAGACGCCTTGAACACAAAAGGAGTCGTGCAGCAGAGACCCTCAACCAGATTTGCTTTAGGACCCAGCCAACTGACAATGTTTTGTCGAATCCCTGACACGAATCAGTGAAGTGACCAGGACTGTGCCATCGCTCATTGTTTGGCACACAAAAACTATAAGCAAATGGACCCAAACATATTCAAGCATGGATAGTGATAACCAAGTGGCCCAAACCTTTGATAAACATATAGTTATAGCCATCCCGGCCATCAGGGCAAGAAGAGGGCCGCCTCGAAGGAGCCCAAGTCGGGGACCTGGTGCCCAAGTCAGCGGAGCCGTGGTATGGTGGAGTTTTTTCTTCCACACAGACTGGTGGGTATTGCTCAACAAATAGGCACCAGAAGATGTACAGATTGTTACGATATTTTTGGATGCAATATTCCTATTGCTGTTCCTGTTCCTACCTCGGTTCCTGCTACTGCTGCTGTTGCCAGTGAAGGCTATCGATTATTGTTCTTCTTTGATGGTCACAGTGTTTTCTCTCCATTTCTTCTCCGTATCATTTTTGTTTGCTTCAGTTGTTCACAGTGGTCCCACCGAAAATCGTTCTGCAGCCCACACGAAAAGGCGGAGGCATGGTTGGATTGTGACCTGACAGTTGTTGACGAAGGAGCATAGTAACATAGGGAAACTAGAAGAAGACAACAAACTTTGTATTGTATAGTTGGTTGCTAGGGCAGATTGCATCGAAGTACCGCTGCATGTCCTCAATTCTGCTCCACATGTGAGCTGCGAAGCGTTTAGAACAACATCCAGGATCCACATGTGACATGTCATTGTTCTACTTTGCGTCGTTGCGTCGGTTTTGGAGCACCTCTTTCATCTGCCCAAGTGGGGGAGGATTGGGTCTTTGGCCTTCAGGTCATCCAAGAAGTCCAAGTTCTTCGCCAAGGCCCGGTGTGGATGGCTGGTGAAAAGGTACAAGGCATCCGGCTTGCGTTCTTAATCCTAAGAATCGAAGAGCTTGCTTGCTTCCAGCCATTTCAGCTCATCTCAACAAGCACTTTTGGGAAGAACCCCACAAGGGGAACGATGTGTTTGACTCGATGTGTTTTGCTCCTGCAAGGAGAACGATGCTGTGAGTGCTTTGAGCACTGAGGAGCAGCAGTCCATAGAGGCTGTTAAGGCGACACGGCCTCGTGCAGGGCAAACACTGAATGAACGCCGAGGTCACTTATATATATAGATGACGTACTGCACTGAAGTCCGCCAACGGGGTGACCGCGACAAGCATTGCCGGACCTACCTGTTTTTCACTGAAACTGCTCTTCAGCCCAAAAATTACAAGTGTTCAGGTGGAACTGGCGAAGAAGAACGTCGCGGCCTTGGGCGCCTTGGGCGGCATCGTTCTGGGCGGCCTTGGTGGTTGGCGAAACACCTCGGCGCAGCCTGAAATGTCATGTTAATCGACCAGAAAGGAAGAGAGGAAACATTGAACAATTGTGTTCGTGGTTGCGGACTCTGAAAGCAGCTGCCCCAGATGCGAAGCACATTCGTTAGTCTCCTTTTCCACGGTGTCCTGTTCTGAAGCGAGCACTCTTTGGCTAGCCCTGTGCTGCAACACTGGACTATATACGGGGTTTCATTTTTAACAGAACGACCGTTCATGCCTTCATTCTTGAAGAACTTTAGAACACTTCTCGTGTTCTTGTCCGACCTCTCATTGAAACCAAATTATAGAGGGTGATGCCGACCCACCCGACTCGTGCAAGCCGCGCGCAAATTTTGAGGGGCCATGCTGGCGCAGAATGGCCTGCCAAAGCTGCTTGGCTCAAGGTCAAGGTCCAAGGGATCTGACCAAGGGGAGGGCATTCTTCTTGTGATTAGGCTGCAAAGGACGCTACTAGGAACAAGTGCCTTACTAGTAGTAACAAGAACGCTACTAGTAACAAGTGCATCGCTTCTAGTAACAGGTGCCTTACTAGTAGTAACAAGAAGCTATTAGAAACAAGTGCCTTACTACTAGGAGCAAGGACGCTTCTAGGGGCTCCTGGCCTTACTCATCCGGTCGACGCAAGGAGTCGCACCGAGCCGAGGAGCGGCCGCAAGGATGAGCTCTTGGAGCGGGTGGCGGAGGCCAAGGCGCTGGGCGTGCCGTCGGGGACGCCCAGCGAAAGAGTCGGCGTTGGGTAGGCATGTTGGGTAGGCGTTGGAGGAGAGGAGCTGGGTTGGATTTGGTGTAGAAAAGAAGACTGAAGGATTGGTTCACAGTTTTTGCCACATTTCCCTGATGTTTTATAGCAACAAACATGAGATGTCCTTATTGCAAGTACAGGTGTTGTGGGACGTCGTGCTGGTGAAGGCCAACGGGATCAACCTCCTCAGCTGATCGACACGTGCGGTGCACGTGCGGCAACAAATCACGGCTCGAGGCCAACGTGTCCGCTGTGCGAGAAGCAGAAGTTGAGATTCTCCAAGGTCACAGGCAGCCTCGGGGGAAGAAAGGTGTCTTGGAGGACGTCTCAGGTTGTTCCGTTGACTTACGGAGGGCAGTTCAAATATATACTGTACTTCACCGTTTGCACTCCACCGGGTCAGGCCTTAAGCTGCGGTTTTGACAACATGCCTTTTGCAGGTACCTACAGCTGCCCTGGCTTCTTTGATGATGAGGCCAAACACTTTAGGAAGTGCAAGGCGCGGGGTGGATTACTTCACTTCAGGTCTGTGGTCTTCTAGGGAAGCGAAAGTTTCGAGCATTTTCCCCCTGCCTGTCAACATATACACCCTGAATAAGTCACGAAAGCTAGCGAAGCTAGCTGGAGTTACTCTTGCGATAGCAAGGTTTCTTTCGATCGGGTGCAAATCCTAACCCCTGATTTTTCAGGTCGAAGCCCCCCCCCCCCCCCCCTCCCCTCTCCCCTCCTCCCCTCTCCTCCTCCTTGTCTCCTTGTCTTCTTCCCACCTTCCCTCCCTCCTCCCTCTTCGCAAGTTCGACTCCGTCCTGTCGTCGCTCTTTGGCATGTGGTTAGCGTTGCGTATCTTGCGGCCGCACTCGCTCACTCTCACTCTCACTCTCACTCTCACTCTCTCTCTCTCTCTCTCTCTCACCCACCCTCTCTCTCTCATCTCTCTCTTCTCTCTCATCTCTCTCTCATCTCTCTCTCATCTCTCTCATCTCTCTCTCATCTCTCTCAACTCTCTCTCATCTCTCTCTCATCTCTCTCTCATCTCTCTCATCTCTCCCTCATCTCTTTCTCATCTCTCTCATATCTCTCTCATCTCTCTCTCCTCTCTCTCTCTCTCTCCTCTCTGTCTCTCGTCTTTCCGTCTCTCTTCTCTCTCTTCTCTCGCAGGAGGATCCGGGCAAAGAACCACATATAAAGGACTCTTCACCCCTGCCTCCAAAAAGAGCGCCGTGTTTTTTCCTACCTCGCTGCCCTCCACTTTCCCATTCTGGAGCGCTAGCTTTCGCCCCCCCCCTTGGCCTCAAGTATATTTATATAGAAGGAATTCCCTACAAAGGTGATTTGAACGCACACGTTTGGACAGGCATTGGGTGCCAAACAGTTATTTTCAGTACCAACAGAAAGGTAGAACAGTGAATCAGTGATTCTGTCAAACTGTTTTGGACATTGCTGGTTGAATGGTGAATTTCGTCAATTGATGCCATTTGGTCAATATTTGTGTACGCGAGGGGGATTCGCGCGTGGAACCTTCCATTCCTTGGGAGTTTCAAAAGACAAAGCAGGAAGGGCCTACAAAAGGGTGATGCTTGTCCGTTTGAATCCCAGAAATACAAGTGGATGTGGATTGGTCATTTGTCTAGCTTGGGCTCTCTGCTGCTGGTCAGCCACACCACAACAGGTCTTGTTAGTTGATTTGGAAGAAACCTTCATTTGGAGTGAAGTGTTGCATGATAATCATAAGGCTTGGAGCAAGCCTACCTATCGCCTTAAAGAATTCACATTTCCTCATTGTCATATGCCTGCTGCAAAAGATAGAGCACATGTTCACAACACTCCTCCACTTTACCAAACTTGCTTCTGTAATTGCCATCTTAATGCCCCCCAGAACGAGCACGCTTTCTGCGTTGGAATTGCGGGATAGACAGGGAGAGATCGGGTATTTAATCCCTCCTGCACTTGCTGGAAACCATAGAAGTCCTGTTGCTATTGAATGTGGATTTGGTAATTTTCAAGGTATCTAAATTGGTGCAAGATGTTGTCCAACAACAGCATTGTCCAGCATGATTCTTGGATCAGGGTTATACAGGCCTAGACCTGAAATAGCACCACTCCAACCAATTGGTGATCATCGTCAATCCAATCATCCAAGTTCAGGTCGATGTGCCCCAAGTCTTCACACAAATAGCCGGGCCGTTCGCGCTAGATTGGTTGGAAAGTCATGAGTCCGATGTTGGAGTGATATGATTTTCCAGAAGGCGTAACACATTACATGACACAAACATACACAAGAGCCATTTTGCCGGTTCTTAAGCGCGAGTCACCCAAGTCCGGTTGTCAGACCTTCAACTGGTATAAATAGTGTGCTGTTTGCCTTACCTGCATCAGACTACCACAGGAGTTCTTAAAGGACACGTTGACATTGACATGAAGCCCTGCTTGGACCCGTGTCACCTGCATTCACTCGCAACGCGTCACTCGCAACGCGTGACTTCATCAAAGCTCGTGTCCAAAACGCAGGGCCCTGGCGAGGACGCTGAGCTGGTGGGGGACCCTTGAAAGAGCCAAGACACTGGATACTCATTCTCATGAGAGCTTTTGCACGCTCAGCATCCTCATGATGCATGTTGAAGATACGTGTTGGCCTCGATGTTGGCCAGAACTGATACAGTAGACCCCGCAGGCAGCTGGCAAATCCTGTTTGAAGGAGGAATGGTGACTCAATCTGCAGCAAAATACCAATGGTTCAGCCAATCATTCAGTCACCGTACCTGAGCTTTACTCCTGTTTGAGCCAGTCTTCTGTGGGAGCCTTGCTTCCGAGGTGCGCACCACCTGGCAGGAGCTTGGCGCTTGAGACGATTTGACAAGGGGGGGACCTTCCAGTCTACGTGGCCCTTCGAGTCTGTGTAGCTGGACGTGGGCGCATGACTGCTGCCCTGGGGAGTGAAAACGAGTGCTTCGTGCCCGCCGGCGTGGTTGGGGGATTGCGAAGTCCTTCCAAAGTCCTGAAATCACCAGGTGTGGAATAGACATCAAGGCAGTTGGGGAGGTGTCAATAGATCTGGAGCCTTCTACACTTTTGTCCCCTCCCTTCTCAGGTATTTATTTAAATATTTGATAATATTTTTATTGTTAAAGTTATTGTTGTTGGTTGGTTGTGTTATTGTTATATTGTCCAATGGCAATGGTGTGGAAGAAGGATTCCATTCGCAAGTGCATTTCTGTGGTTTACTGTAACTAAGGTCAAAGGAACGGTCAAAAGAAAGGTGGCACCTGCTCCTAGTAGTAAGGCACTTGCTCCTAGTAGTAAGGAACTTGTTTCTAATAGCGTTCTTGTTACTACTAGTAAGGCACTTGTTCCTAGAAGCGATG